GGGGGGGGGGGGGGTTAGTGTCTGAGTGCCGTCTGTCAGCTAATCTTAGCGTGTGCGACGTGTCTCCCAGCCTGCTAATGTTAGTTTTCTCAGCCCCCCCCCCAGATTTACGTTGGGGCTCCCAGGTCAGGCTGCTGGTCCATGGAAGACAGTGTTTAGTGTCCTGTAGGTGTCTGCGAGTTAGAAGGCATGTCACCCTCTGCCATCTCTCCCCATGACTTCCCCTCTCCTGTCACTTCCCAGCATGCATTTCACCCTGCCAGGGCAGAGCGGAGAAACCAGTATCCAGTAACTCCACACTGACCACCTTCGGCACTTTTGTGATCCATCAGCCTCTTGGGATGTCAGAGGGTCTCAACCAAAAGACAAACTCAGCAGAAATCCCGTTTTGTTGCCTGGGAAATGGGAGGTGGCAGGCGTGCGCTTGGTTAAACGGCCCTGGAGGATGGTTACACATCGCTTCCCTGCGGGAGACCGTCCTCGGGGCCTAAAATCGGCCAGTGCCAGCGCTGGGTCAGCATTTCTGCCACAGAGCGTGATCTGAGTCAGCTGGTCGCCCCTCCAGCCTTATCAGCGTTGTGCTACTGCCTGATACACCCCCGCATGGTCCTGTGTTCCCCTCTCTGAAGACAGGGATTCTCTTTCTCTAAAGCGTTGAGAATGCTCTAATGCTCACCTGCCACTCCCCTTGTGGAGTGGTGACCCCCCCCAATACGCCATTTCTGGCGTGCTGAACTCTGTCGCAGTCTGGTCAAAAGGAAACGCCGCCAACGGACACAGCGGTTCTGTGATCTCCGGAAATGGAACCGGCCGCCACGGAACGCAGCTGGGTTCCCTCCCTCCCCCCCGGCAGGATTTAAGGAGTTGTTTGTTGTTCTCAAGGTCATTTACAGTTCACAGGCACAGTGGGGGGGTCATGGGAAAAGCAGCCCCCGATGAAGATGGCTGATCTGAGAGTCTGGCTGTGGCGGTCGGCTGGCAGACCTTCATGGAAAAAGGGCGTTTTATTTAACCACGTTACTCGCTGGAGGTGAGGCCACCCTGAGCTCAGGGGAAGCGTGACGCCTCGATCCTGGCATATTTTACTTTAAGGAGCACAGAGAAATGGGAGACGATGCCGTTTAATCAAAAATGTTTCCTAAGGGCCAGGGAGATGGGAAGCAGACCTATTGAGTTTTATCCTAGATTACTCCATCATTTTCTGGGTCCTGAGGCTCTCCCACCGGGGGCTTCTTTCCTGCCTGGGTACAGCGGTGGGTACTGCGGTGGGTACATCGCTGCCCAGGTGTAGAGGTACCATGAGTGTCCTAGGGTCAGCCCCAAACCCAGGGGCAGACAGGCAATAAATAGCAGACCGGGAATTTGCTCTCAAAGGGCCCCAAATGGATATTTTGCCATTGACTGGGGGGGTCCCATTGGTATATTTAGCCACAGACTGGCTCTAGTTAGACTGGCCCAATGGGAAACTTCCAGAATTTCCTGATGGCCAGTCGGCACCTGCCCAAACTCAGAGTGGCTGATGGGCAGCCGAAAGGATCGGCCTGGACCCCTGAGGATCAGACTCCAGAAGGTCCAGCCTCCCTCATTTAGTTTGTACATGATACTGATGCTGTGTACTGGGAGATATTGTGTCCATAGGGCTGGGGGGGGGCATTCTGTCCCCACCTATCAGTCCAACAGCGCATCCAGTCTGAGAGGCATGTTACCCGGGTAGTGTGGCTAACACGGGGATCTAACCGATGTGTTCGCCCCTAGCATGACTACTCTATATCCAATAAATGAAATGCTGCCCCCAGAGTCTGAATTAAGGAACTGCTTTAAATAACACTGACAACAG